ACCTCATATTTAGAATTCGTGTTGCAAATTGAGGGCAGCATGTCATTGTTGCTATTTTAGAAATATCCCGGAGTATCCTTAAATGTAAATGATTAACAGTCACCTGACAAATTAATATGGGCTGGCTGAAGGAAAGATATATAACGGTATATGAAATACGTACATTAAACCCCACAAGCCTCGTAAGTACCTATTTTGAGGATAACAACTAACACTAAAAAAGTGAGCATTACTTAAGCCTTAAGTATTTCTTAGAACTTTTCCGATGACTAAACATTATTTACAAAGTGAACTAAGACCCTTAACCTATTTCACCTTTTACTCGTCGACTCATAGAAAAAAAAACCAATGATGCAGACTATTGTTGACCGTTCAGCCAATAATGGCTATTCTCATTACGCCCGCCCTAAAATGAATGGAGGAGGTACTTATGGTTATAAGTACGATGAAGGTGGCTTTCATGGTGTAAATGGGGGTAATGGTCAACGTCCTAGTGACAATAGAGACCATCAAAGAGGATCCTTCAATGGTCGTAGTGGCAATGGGCGAAACGGCAATGGAGGTCGAAACAATAACGGTGGTAATGGTGGTGGTGGTAGTAATGGAAATGGTAATAAAAAAGTTCATGTTCCATCCAATTACCGAATCCACGAAGAACTCGTCTTCCGAGTTACGAACATACAAAGTGAAGCCACAGCAACAGATTTAAAAGACCATTTTAATTTGTTCGGATCTGTGTATAAAGTTGTAATTGAAACGGCAGAGTATAATGGGGCTGATAGATCAATTGGAGCGGCACTTGTTACCTTTAGGTTTGTATACGTATTATTTTTTTGACGAATTAAAATTTTTTATTTTTTTTTATTTTTTTATTTTTTTAGTATAAATTAATTAATTGAGCGTTTTACAGACCACCTCCGCCACCATTCTGGAATAGAGATGTTGTTTTTCATGGACGAGTTCTAAAATTGGAGCATTATCCGTTAAAACACAATAATACACATTTTAAGGATCCCGCTGATGGTAAACATAAACTTAAGAAACATACTTTTAATGCAGAAAGCATTGAAATGGGTGCGTTCTTGCAACCTGATACTTTCGTTTCCGAAGCACTATTTACTGAAAAAGTCAATTTTATGCTTGATTACAAGCGACGTATCATTAAAGTCATATTTGTAGTTCAACGTACTCATACTTTTAAGTTGGAGATTCAATTTAAAGATGTGGACGGGGAAATTATTGCTGAATGCGATAGATATCGAGCTATTCTTACTGTCTCGAGCAAATTTCCGGCTAGATATTGGTTTCACAACGGTGCACAAAGAAATAATAAGAATCAAAGAAATAATAATGCAAAATTGCAGGATTTTAACTGGTGTTACGATGATTGTTGGAAAAGAAAAACAGAAATTCGTGTTGTGCCACGAACTGACGAGGAAAAGTCATTGCCTCTACAGCTAAATATGCCAAATAAAAGTGATAAAATTGGCAAGTGGCTCGTATTTAGAATTACATTTGACCTTGATTCTATAAAAAATGGAATAAAAGAAATCAAGGATATGTTGATCAAGGCTGGAGAATACAATCTCGCATCAAAGCCTGGTGAATTTAGAAATCGTCCAATTAAGGTTGTCAAGTCCGATACATTAGAACAATATTGGGATAGATCTACGTTACAGTTCGATGTCGCCTACATGATAGAAAGTAATATATCACATAACTTTCTAAACGAATATAATCTTTCAGAAGATTTCTATAAAATTTTGTCACAGCAATCATCAGGAATTGCACTTAGAATTCTAGAAACTATATCAGCTCGTAAAAAACGTTTTTTTGATCCTCTTACAACTCTTCGAAGTGAGATTTTGAAACTTTCGAACGTTGATGTTAAAGCAAAATACGTTCCTTCCTACTGTGTAATGATGCGAAAGGTGGTCGTTACGCCCACCACCATGTACATATTGCCGCCTTCGATGGAAACTTCCAACCGTGTAATTAGACATTTTCAAAATTGTAAAGAGAATTTTTTACGTGTTCAATTCACCGATGAAGCATCTGGAAAAGTTGGTGCCAATTCGGGTAATGATGCGTTATATAATAGAATATATCAAACACTCGTTAGTGGTATTAAGATTGGTGATCGACATTACGAGTTTCTAGCATTCTCTTCCAGTCAACTGAGAGATCACTCTTGCTGGTTTTTCGCTCCAACAGACAAATTAACAGCAGACGATATTCGAAATTGGATGGGTGATTTTTCAGAAAATTGTGTAGTCGCAAAATATGCTGCCCGCATGGGCCAATGCTTTTCTAGCACCCGTGCAATCGCCTACTTACAAGTAGACGATATTGTAGAGATACCAGACATATACAGGGGTAAATACAATTTTTCAGATGGCACTGGGAAAATTTCATATGGATTAGCCAAAACTATTGCCCAGAGCTTAGAATTGAAAAATACACCTTGTGCTTTTCAATTCAGACTTGCAGGCTATAAAGGTGTTCTTTGCTTATCCCGTTATTTACACGGGAATAAAATTCAAGTACGACCTAGCCAATGCAAATTTGAATCGACACATCAAGTTTTAGAAGTAATTAGAGGGTCATGTATGATTACTGCCTTCCTCAACCGACAAGCCATAACTCTGTTATCTACATTAGGGGTACCAGATGAAGTATTTATTGATATGAAAAATCAACAGGTGCAAGAACTAGATAAAATGCTTAAAAGCGATCATATGGCGATGAGTGTGTTACTCAAAAACGCCGATGAACATGGAATGACTCGAATAATGTCTGACCTTGTGAAAGCAGACTTTTTGCAAAGGAAAGATCCTTTCATTCTTAACCTTCTTGCCCTATTTCGAATTATGATGTTAAGAGATTTGAAGAGAAAAGCAAAAATTCGTGTTGATGATGGAGCATTTTTGTTAGGAGTATTAGATGAAACAAATTCTTTAAAGGATAACCAAATATATTGTTGTAAATCCGATCCGCAAAATCCGAATGTAAGACAAGTAATTAAGGGAACATGTATTGTGTATCGTAATCCTTGCTTTCATCCCGGAGATATTCGAGTCGTCACTGCTGTGGAGTGTAAAAATTTAGACTATCTTGTTGATGTAGTAGTATTTCCGGCACAAGGATTCCGGGATATTCCAAGTCAATGTAGTGGAGGTGATCTCGATGGTGATGATTTCACGTAAGTAATTCACAATTTCGTAATTTTTTTATTAATTTATCAACCTGTTAATACTTACGTATTTTTACAGTATCATCTATGATCCAAGACTTATTCCTAAAATAAAAAATTTTGAGCCTATGAATTATGAGGCACCAAAACCAGAGATGGTTGAGCAAGTTACAATTGATCATGTTAAAAAGTTTTTCGTGAACTATATTTGTACAGATCAATTAGGATCCATCGCTAACGCACATTTAGCGAAGGCTGATATGGCAGAAAATGGGGCATTTCATGGTCAATGTATGCGCCTGGCTCAGCTTCACTCCGAAGCAGTAGATTTTCCAAAAACCGGTAGCCCATTGGAATTCCCCAATGAACTTAGAGTGAAACGTTTTCCAGATTTTATGGAAAAGCCTGACAAACCCTCATACCCTTCTCCGAAAGTCCTCGGAAGACTTTATCGATCAATTGAAGTTTCAGATTTTAGTCCTTACACAGAAATTGTTTTTGATGATCGATTGTTAGTTCCAGGAATTGAAGCGTATTTGGAAGATGCACGTGAATGCAAACGTGATTACGATTCAGAAGTACGTGGTTTAATGAATCAATATGGAATATTATCAGAATACGAGGTTGCCAGTGGTTTTATTGTCAACACTGTTCTTAAAATAGAAAAGAAGAAGCCACGTGACATACAAAAGTCGGTATCAGATATGGTTGCAGTTATTAAAAGGCTTTATAAAAGAAGATTTGAAAAGGAGTTTTACATTGAGGGAGCAGATGGAGCAAATATTATATCACCAGAATCTCGTGGTCTTATGGAGGCTAAAGCATCAGCGTGGTACTATGTTACCTATCATAAAGACGAAATTGGAGATGATCCATCTGATCAAATGATATCCTTTCCATGGGTTAATCATGAGATTTTATGCCAAATAGCTATGAGGAGCAGTGGCAAAAAAAGAGCATTTAACGATCTTTATGTTCAAGATAAAAAGACATATCAAGCATCGAGTTCAGCGAGTTCATCGAGCTCGTCTAGTTCTTTCAGTTCTTTAACCTCAACTAACTCGACTAGTTCGAGCTTCAACAACTATAATACACAAACAAATGACTTAAGTTTCAACTCTTTCGATTATGATTACCTTGAAAGCCAAAGCGATGGAATGGATAGGCTTATTAGTAGTATTGCGCGAAGCAAGCAATCTCGCATGAATTGGAATTAAAAATGAAATTGAAATGAAATTGAACTAGAAAATGAAAATTCAAAATGAAATTGGAATTAAAAATGGAATTGGAATTAAAAATGGAATTGGAATTAAAAAATGGAATTGGAGTTAAAAAATGAAATTGGAATTAAAAATGAAATTGGAATTAAAAAGTGATTAAATCATTATTACTTATATTTGAGCACTATCAAAAACAGTATATATTTTTTAAATTATGGGTGTTTTTTTTCTTTTTTTTTTTTTTTTGAAATACTTTTCGTCTATATATGTATATATATGTGAAATAAAAACAAAACTGAATAAAACTAAATAAAACTGAATAAAATTGAATAAAAACATGAAATATTACTTTAATTATTAATGTTTAGCAATGCGTACTGAGAATTCATGTGATAACATGAGTTGAAATTATAAATTTTTTTATTTTATTCATAAATAATTATGTTTGATAATTGCAATTAGCAATGAAAAAAAAGTCAAGAACCAAATTTAAACTCCTATTAAAATTGAAATTACATTAAAGAAATAAGTAAATGAATAAAATATATTATTAACTACCTTTTTTTTTTTTTTTTTTTTTGAATATTTACATTTTTTTTTTTTTTTTTTTTTTTTTTTTAACATTATGAATAAATTGATTTTTAAGTATTGAATAACCGACACTATTTACATATTTGTATGTACCAAACTAACCAGATAAATTGTAAACAGAAAAAATATTCGATTATAAATCGATAAAGTATGCAGAAAGAATCGTTGATATAGTAAATAAAAGTGATAAAATTGGCAAGTGGCTCGTATTTAGAATTACATTTGACCTTGATTCTATAAAAAATGGAATAAAAGAAATCAAGGATATGTTGATCAAGGCTGGAGAATACAATCTCGCATCAAAGCCTGGTGAATTTAGAAATCGTCCAATTAAGGTTGTCAAGTCCGATACATTAGAACAATATTGGGATAGATCTACGTTACAGTTCGATGTCGCCTACATGATAGAAAGTAATATATCACATAACTTTCTAAACGAATATAATCTTTCAGAAGATTTCTATAAAATTTTGTCACAGCAATCATCAGGAATTGCACTTAGAATTCTAGAAACTATATCAGCTCGTAAAAAACGTTTTTTTGATCCTCTTACAACTCTTCGAAGTGAGATTTTGAAACTTTCGAACGTTGATGTTAAAGCAAAATACGTTCCTTCCTACTGTGTAATGATGCGAAAGGTGGTCGTTACGCCCACCACCATGTACATATTGCCGCCTTCGATGGAAACTTCCAACCGTGTAATTAGACATTTTCAAAATTGTAAAGAGAATTTTTTACGTGTTCAATTCACCGATGAAGCATCTGGAAAAGTTGGTGCCAATTCGGGTAATGATGCGTTATATAATAGAATATATCAAACACTCGTTAGTGGTATTAAGATTGGTGATCGACATTACGAGTTTCTAGCATTCTCTTCCAGTCAACTGAGAGATCACTCTTGCTGGTTTTTCGCTCCAACAGACAAATTAACAGCAGACGATATTCGAAATTGGATGGGTGATTTTTCAGAAAATTGTGTAGTCGCAAAATATGCTGCCCGCATGGGCCAATGCTTTTCTAGCACCCGTGCAATCGCCTACTTACAAGTAGACGATATTGTAGAGATACCAGACATATACAGGGGTAAATACAATTTTTCAGATGGCACTGGGAAAATTTCATATGGATTAGCCAAAACTATTGCCCAGAGCTTAGAATTGAAAAATACACCTTGTGCTTTTCAATTCAGACTTGCAGGCTATAAAGGTGTTCTTTGCTTATCCCGTTATTTACACGGGAATAAAATTCAAGTACGACCTAGCCAATGCAAATTTGAATCGACACATCAAGTTTTAGAAGTAATTAGAGGGTCATGTATGATTACTGCCTTCCTCAACCGACAAGCCATAACTCTGTTATCTACATTAGGGGTACCAGATGAAGTATTTATTGATATGAAAAATCAACAGGTGCAAGAACTAGATAAAATGCTTAAAAGCGATCATATGGCGATGAGTGTGTTACTCAAAAACGCCGATGAACATGGAATGACTCGAATAATGTCTGACCTTGTGAAAGCAGACTTTTTGCAAAGGAAAGATCCTTTCATTCTTAACCTTCTTGCCCTATTTCGAATTATGATGTTAAGAGATTTGAAGAGAAAAGCAAAAATTCGTGTTGATGATGGAGCATTTTTGTTAGGAGTATTAGATGAAACAAATTCTTTAAAGGATAACCAAATATATTGTTGTAAATCCGATCCGCAAAATCCGAATGTAAGACAAGTAATTAAGGGAACATGTATTGTGTATCGTAATCCTTGCTTTCATCCCGGAGATATTCGAGTCGTCACTGCTGTGGAGTGTAAAAATTTAGACTATCTTGTTGATGTAGTAGTATTTCCGGCACAAGGATTCCGGGATATTCCAAGTCAATGTAGTGGAGGTGATCTCGATGGTGATGATTTCACGTAAGTAATTCACAATTTCGTAATTTTTTTATTAATTTATCAACCTGTTAATACTTACGTATTTTTACAGTATCATCTATGATCCAAGACTTATTCCTAAAATAAAAAATTTTGAGCCTATGAATTATGAGGCACCAAAACCAGAGATGGTTGAGCAAGTTACAATTGATCATGTTAAAAAGTTTTTCGTGAACTATATTTGTACAGATCAATTAGGATCCATCGCTAACGCACATTTAGCGAAGGCTGATATGGCAGAAAATGGGGCATTTCATGGTCAATGTATGCGCCTGGCTCAGCTTCACTCCGAAGCAGTAGATTTTCCAAAAACCGGTAGCCCATTGGAATTCCCCAATGAACTTAGAGTGAAACGTTTTCCAGATTTTATGGAAAAGCCTGACAAACCCTCATACCCTTCTCCGAAAGTCCTCGGAAGACTTTATCGATCAATTGAAGTTTCAGATTTTAGTCCTTACACAGAAATTGTTTTTGATGATCGATTGTTAGTTCCAGGAATTGAAGCGTATTTGGAAGATGCACGTGAATGCAAACGTGATTACGATTCAGAAGTACGTGGTTTAATGAATCAATATGGAATATTATCAGAATACGAGGTTGCCAGTGGTTTTATTGTCAACACTGTTCTTAAAATAGAAAAGAAGAAGCCACGTGACATACAAAAGTCGGTATCAGATATGGTTGCAGTTATTAAAAGGCTTTATAAAAGAAGATTTGAAAAGGAGTTTTACATTGAGGGAGCAGATGGAGCAAATATTATATCACCAGAATCTCGTGGTCTTATGGAGGCTAAAGCATCAGCGTGGTACTATGTTACCTATCATAAAGACGAAATTGGAGATGATCCATCTGATCAAATGATATCCTTTCCATGGGTTAATCATGAGATTTTATGCCAAATAGCTATGAGGAGCAGTGGCAAAAAAAGAGCATTTAACGATCTTTATGTTCAAGATAAAAAGACATATCAAGCATCGAGTTCAGCGAGTTCATCGAGCTCGTCTAGTTCTTTCAGTTCTTTAACCTCAACTAACTCGACTAGTTCGAGCTTCAACAACTATAATACACAAACAAATGACTTAAGTTTCAACTCTTTCGATTATGATTACCTTGAAAGCCAAAGCGATGGAATGGATAGGCTTATTAGTAGTATTGCGCGAAGCAAGCAATCTCGCATGAATTGGAATTAAAAATGAAATTGAAATGAAATTGAACTAGAAAATGAAAATTCAAAATGAAATTGGAATTAAAAATGGAATTGGAATTAAAAATGGAATTGGAATTAAAAAATGGAATTGGAGTTAAAAAATGAAATTGGAATTAAAAATGAAATTGGAATTAAAAAGTGATTAAATCATTATTACTTATATTTGAGCACTATCAAAAACAGTATATATTTTTTAAATTATGGGTGTTTTTTTTCTTTTTTTTTTTTTTTTGAAATACTTTTCGTCTATATATGTATATATATGTGAAATAAAAACAAAACTGAATAAAACTAAATAAAACTGAATAAAATTGAATAAAAACATGAAATATTACTTTAATTATTAATGTTTAGCAATGCGTACTGAGAATTCATGTGATAACATGAGTTGAAATTATAAATTTTTTTATTTTATTCATAAATAATTATGTTTGATAATTGCAATTAGCAATGAAAAAAAAGTCAAGAACCAAATTTAAACTCCTATTAAAATTGAAATTACATTAAAGAAATAAGTAAATGAATAAAATATATTATTAACTACCTTTTTTTTTTTTTTTTTTTTTGAATATTTACATTTTTTTTTTTTTTTTTTTTTTTTTTTTAACATTATGAATAAATTGATTTTTAAGTATTGAATAACCGACACTATTTACATATTTGTATGTACCAAACTAACCAGATAAATTGTAAACAGAAAAAATATTCGATTATAAATCGATAAAGTATGCAGAAAGAATCGTTGATATAGTAAATAACAGTGAAAAAAATGAACGTGAATGATAATTAAAAAAAAATCCCAGATATCTCTCCGTTTTATGTTGTTTTATGTTTAATTGAAGTATTCAAACACGATAAACATAAATAATATGATAATGAATAAGAAAAAAAATTTTTTTTTCAGTAGGTTAGAAAAATGAATGAAAAAAATGATAAATGAATAATGATTGGATAAAAGAGGCCAGATGAAGGTCGAAAGGTAAATGAAAAAGATAGGGATATATTTACAAAATGGACAAAAAAAATTTACAAGGTTAGGTAATTAAGAAAATTAGAAATTAACATTATTCATCATAAAGCGAAAGATGAAAGCAAACATGTACAAGTAAAATTTGCAATTTACAAGTAGAACCAATAGAACACGTTATTTAATTATTGTGTCGAAGCAGCAGCAAAAGACATGGAAGAATTTTCTTCTTCGACAATAGGATCCAATAAGATCGAGTTTCTATTACCACGAAGAGAAGCTCTTGAAGATCTACGATTAACCTTTAAAGTAGAATTCGAAGGGATAGCAAAAATACAATCCCTGCTTTGATCCAACATGAATTGATCATTTACACCAGCAGAAGTGGGCATGCGACGTGGAAGTAAAGTTGGACTTTCGATAGGACTCGAATCAGTAGATGAGTTGCTACTTGGGGGCAAAAAAGCTGGAGGATAACTTTCAGTAGTATAAACATGACCTACGTGACCATTGGTTGCATTATGATGATTAGCAGAGTAATTATTAAGATTATAGGATGGTTGGTAAGTAGAGTCATAAACGGTATGAAATGAAGTGTTATATCCGGCTGCAGAAAAAGTAGCAGGATATGTATTTCTGTAGGCGTTAGCGAAAGGAGTTTGATCATTAGAGTTGTAAAGAGGAGACGTATGCATCTTTGCTGATTAAAAAAAAAAAAATTTAGAGTAGGTTTTTTTATATAAGGTATGTGTTCAAAAGGGAATATCAAATATCTGGGTATGCTCGTAAAAAAATATATATATATATATATATATATAATAATAATAATATAATAACAATTATAACTAATTATTATTATTATTATTATTATTATTAGTATTATTTATTAAATTGATTAAATTTAATACTGAAATAAATTTAATTCCCAAAGGAAGAAAGAACTTTTGCTTAAGCGCGAAGTAAAAATTCTTTTATAGGGACGAAATACCGATACGTAAAGAAGCGTGGCTTTGGATTTTTTTCTTTTAAGGAATAACACGGGACTATCACAAAATAAAAAAAAAATAAATGTGGCTTTTGTTATGAAAGATAGCGTTGATGAAAAAGACACAGCCCGTGTATTAAAAAGAGCGAGGAAAATGATAAAGTAGGTAGTGGAAATCGTAAATCATCCAGTGGAGAAGAGTAAGGATGACTTGAAATCGGATATCCTCCTTTTTTTTTTTTTTTTTGTTTAATACAGCAAAAACGAGGGGATTTTTTTTTAAAAAAAAAAGTGGGGAAAAGGACGTTTTTTATAAGATTTTTTTATAGTGAGTAGTTTCCGTAAAAAGATTTCCAATTGCGTGGTAAACTCGTAATCAAACAAACAAAAATAAACTTTATGCAATATCGATGTGAATTCGAGATATAAATGTAAAAAAAGAAAAATTTGATCAGAATCATCAGAAAATCAGCGGTACAAAGCTTCCACGCGTTAAAAAAAAATCCAAAAATAGTTACTCTATTAAAGGTGAACTTACTAGAAAATTATTTTTATATAATTCTGACGCCATAAGAGTTGATACAGTTGTATTGTATTTTTTATTTAAACAATCTTTTGCCACGAATATGTCAATTTATGCAGAGTTCTCTAATTTTGCTTCATAGTTGCCGTGGGATACTTGCTGACAATTCAAGCATTTTAACCCGGTGACTTTATTACTAGTTAATGATGTTAAACTGCATTGCATACTGATACATTTAATTTGTAATAAAGATTAGAATTCGTCATCATCATGTAGTATATAATCATCATGTAGTATATAATCATCATGTAGTATATAATCATCATGTAGTATATAATCATCATGTAGTATATAATCATCATGTAGTATATCATCATGAATATTACTCAAAATAAATGCGTGGGTAATTCGAATATTTATGCATACTGTATACCATATATAGGAAAAAGCGAAAATTTTCACACTTCGAGTCGTTATAGAACAGCTTAAAAGACAAGATTCTTAGTTGCTATAACAAGAAAGAAGCATGTTTTCTCTAACTGATACGGAGACGTAACGCGTATATCCGATGTTTCTAAAATTCTCAACGCATGCTAATTTTTCAGGTTCAAGAATTCTAAATTGGTCGATTTGTAATTAGTACAATTGACTATTTATCTTGTGACTATTACAAGCTATTACAAGTTTTACAAGTTTTATGATACTTTTATATTCTCTTGTATTTTTAGATTTCATTTTTCCGAACAGGCTTTATCATTCTATAATTCTCAATTATTCGATATAGATCAAGCGTTAAAAACTGATTTAGTATATATCAAATATCGATAGATAAATGTACAATTGGATCTTATCAATGTGATTTATCAGGGATGTTTTAATTCTCAAATAGGATGGAATATGTTCTCCGATTATCTCTTTTTTTTTTTTTGATTGGTTTCGCATTAGCGAGCATAAAATTTAAAAGGCATTGACCGTAATCTTCCGGCTGATGTTAACCAATCGGATAAGTTCTCTATTATAATCTTTAACCATTAAACCCCAAATTCTGCTCCTCTAATAAGATTGAATTCGTGTACGTATGTACGTAGCATGTACGCATGTATAGTGTTTAAAGAATTATGCATTTATAAATCAATTTAATTTGATTGGAAATGTCAATAATGTCCGACGACAATTCTCTGATTCTGTAGTTTCCTTTTGATGCTATCATAACTCCGATCATTATTTCTGATTCCGATTTCTGGTATCATCCACAAGAATTTTCACGTTTTAAATTTGACCATTTCTGTCCGTTTGTAATTTATTTGTCACACGACTTAAAAGCAATTAACCGTTCACTTCCAAATTTCCTTTTTATCTACTACAGTAAATTATCAATTATCCTATGTACTAAATCATCTAAATCATGGGATTACTGATGGAACAATCTTATTTCTAATTTCTATTTGTTGAAAAACAATCTTTAAATTTCATTTTATTTATCATTCCTTTGCTTTTTTTATTGGTCACTTATCTGTCTGTACACTTAAAACATCTCCTGTATTTATTTAATTTTATTTATTTATTTTACTCATTCCACATCATACTCTTGCTTCATTTCCCATACGGTCATAGGACTGCTTGTGTATTTGTAATTTATGAAATTTCTATTTTCTCAATTAATTCTTGTTATTTAAATGACCGTGAACATTTACTATATATGTCTTTTCAAAAATGGTTCTTTCCTTTTTGCGTACTTTTTATATTCATTATTTGTTAATAAATGTTCCAAAATCTGTTTATTTGTAAATAAAAATACTTTCTCGTGGAATTACAGAATATATAATATGAAATATAATATGAAATATAATATGGAATATAATATGAAATATAATATGGAATATAATATGAAATATAATATGGAATATAATATGGAATATAATCTGAAATATAATATGGAATATAATATGGAATATAATCTGAAATATAATATGAAATATAAGGGAGCTGACACTTATTACGTAAATTCAACCCCCCCTCCAGCGTCAGCTATTTGACAATAACAGGTTCTAAAGTAATCAATCTTTTAACAATTGCAAGTTCTAAAATAACCAATCATATAAAGTTTCCACTATGATTACTTTAGAACCTGTTATTGTCAAATAGCTGACGCTGGAGGGGGGTTGAATTTACGTAATAAGTGTCAGCTCCCTAATCTGAAATATAATATGAAATATAATATGGATAATACAAATTTATATAATATGGTTATTCTACTTTTTATACGTAAATATGGTTGCCTGTTTTTTTATTATGGAAAACTGGTATTATCGTATAATCTAAAAAAGTCATAAGATCAGCTCATGTCGTACAATAGAATGAATTCTCTAGCCGTATTTTGCACATCAATATCTAACAACTTAATTCATACCCAAAAAACGTTAAGAGAAAATTGTCACCTTTTCAATTATAATTAACCAATAAACACGTAATTTCAAGATATCGGTTGCTTCCGAGCCTATAGTTTTAAGTAAATAATTACACAAAAAAATTTTTTTTCCAAGAATTAAAAAATAAATTAAATTTAGTAAACCGAAAATCAATCTAATAATATTGCTAGTTCAAATACAGCATATATTTCTACAATAAATTACCGGATATACAACAAATAGGGATTTTAAAAGGCTTATTATAGTTAGCTACGCCTCGGGTTAGCTTAGTCGAATTTTCTTCATGTCTAATCTTGATGCTTTATATGTAATCACATCACTAAAATGTGATTTTTATTATACGTATGACTAATAAATGTATTAAACCTAGAATACAGTACGTATTATAAATTTATACGGACAACCCCAAATTTGGTAATGATCATCGTAATTGAATAAAAAATTTTAACTTTTTATATACGTTAAAGTACTTTTTATTCTCGTGATTTTTCGAAAACTTGACAAATACCTATTTTCTATCAAAATGAATTCAAAATAATCCTAGTATTTAAAAAGTTTATTAGAGATGAAGTTTATAAGAGATCTAAGGCAGTTAAACCTGTAATTCGAGTATACGAAGGCATTTTGGTGTAAAACCAAGGAAAAACAATGTAAACCTACGATCTAGTACTTTCTAGAATAAGCAAAAACTGTGTTTATACAAATAGCTAGTGATTGAATAACCAAACTGAATCGAAAAAATTCAGTTGAACCGGTTAAGTAAATGCTTAACTGATTAATCTAACATAATTGGTTAATTAGCTGATTAACCTAACATAATCGGTTTATTCAACATAATCGGTTGTTTAACATAATCAGCTAACTCAATATAATCAATTAATCTGAAATCTAAGTTTTGTGGTTTGTATTTTTTTTTTTTTTGTTAATTTCTTTATATCTATAATATTTAAAAAATATATATATAGATTTTATTTTTGATATATTTTTTAAGTTTCTTTTTTTTTATATAATTTGGTCATGTTTTGTCTCTATTTATTGAGATTTAAACTATTTAAAAAATTACTAAAATTTTTATCTATAGCTGTTAACCATCTAACTTAACAGATAACTTACTCAGCTTGTAAAGCCCAGGTGTAACTTGTTTTAGTAACTTTAGCTTTCCTTCAGGCTCCTAACTTACTAAAAGCTTAAATCTTTTAATTATTAGCAAGTATTATACCATATCAAAACTGTTTTTTTTTTTATAAAAATAAAAAACAAACTTAAATTCAAAGAGCAAAACAAACAAAAAAAGAAATATTTTAATTTCTAAAATCTGATCTATCTATATAACAAATAAAATAATGAAAACAAAAATAAAATAAAACAAAACTAAAATAGTATTATTAAATCTGTACAAAATTATAAAAATATGGGTGTAGTAATTTAGTGAAGTGGTTAAGTTATCGCACCTCCAAGCAATATGTTGATTAGATAGGAGGTTCGAAACCTACTGGTGACAAATTTCAAAAATTTTACCTATATAACGGTTACTATCATCCGATTAATAGTTGGAACGAGATCTCTATAATCTTGGTAGCACCAACAGAATTAGGAGATTATAAGGTATTTGTATAACACACAAGTTACACAAATAAGCTTTTGGATCGTAGTAAACCCAAGAAACTGAGAAGAATAATAGAACTCACTTGGCAAGACTTGAGTAGAGAGGTAGTACAGATTTTTGATAGTACTACGTAAAGAATTATTACTAAGAGA